TTATCAAATGCTTTTCTGCATCTATTGATATGATCATGTGGTTTTCATCTTTCAATTTGTTTTTGTGGTGTATCACATTTATTGGTCTGCAGATATTGTAGCAATCTTGCATCCCCAGAAAAAAATCCCACTTGATCATGATGTATCTTTTTAATGTGTTGCTTGATCAGGTTTGCTAATATTTAGTTCAAGATTTTAGCACCTATGTTCATCAGGGATATTGGCATATAACTTTATTTCTTTGTTGTGTCTTTATCTGATTTTAGAATTTGGATACTGCTAGTCTCATAAAATTAGCTTGGGGGGGTCTTTCCTCCTCTTGAATTTTTTTGGACTATTTCAAGGATAGGTGTTAGTTCTTCTTTAAATATTTGGTAAAATTAACCTGTGAAGCCATATGGCTCAGGACTTTCATTTGTTGCAAGCTTTTTCATTACTGCTTCAATTTCACTAGTTGTAATCTGTCTATTCAGATTCTTTGATTTTTCCTGACTTAGTTTTGGAAGATTGTATATTTCTAGAAATTCATCCATTTCTTCCAGATTGTTCAATTTGTTGACTTATAGCTGTTTGTAATATTTTCTTACAATACTATGTATTTCTTTTGTTTCAGTTTTTACTTCTTTTTTTCATTTCTAATTTTATTTGGATCTCCTCTTAATCTTGATAAGTCTTGCCAAAGGTTTGTCAATCTTGTTTATCTTTTCAAACAACCAGCTTTTGGTTTCATTGATCTTTTCATATAACCAGATCTTGGTTTCATTGATTATTAGTATTTTTTTTAGACTCTACTTCATTTATCTCCCATTTGATTTTTATTATTTCCTTCCTACTCATGTTGGGCTTGTTTGTTTTCTTTTTCAAGTGACATTGAGTATAAAATTCAAGTGCTTATTTGAGATTTTTCTTTTTTTGATAAGCCTATAATACTCTGAATTTCCTTCTTAGTACTGCTTCCACTATTTTTCATACATTATGTGTTGTGTTATCATTTTCATTTGTTTCAAGGTAAATTTTGATTTCTTCTTTGATTTCATTGTTAACCCATTTATTGTTTAGTAACATGTTATTTAGCCTCCATGTCTTTCTGTGTTTTTTAGTTTTTTTAATTGTGATTGGTTTCTAGTTGTATACCATTATAGTCAAAGAAGATCCTTGATGAGATTTTAATCATCTTGAACTTATTGAGACTTGTTTTATGTCTTAACACGTCATCTACCTTAGAAAATAGTCCCTGTCCCCTTGAAAGTAAAGGATATTCTGCTGCTTTGTGGTGAAATATTCTGAATATATCCATTAAATCAAACTGAATTAGTGTGTCATTTAAAGCCATCATTTTATTATTGATTTTCTGTCTGGAAAATCTGTTCACTGAGGCCAATGGGGTGTTAAAATCCCCTACTATGACGGTATTACTGTCACTCTATCCCTTTATGTTCATCAAGATTTGCTTTACAGCCGAAACCAGTTTGGCTCAGTGGTAGAGTGTCGGTCTGTGGACTGAAGGGTCCCGGGTTTGATTCCGGTCAAGGGCATGTACATTGGTTGTGGGCACATCCCCGATGGGGGGTGTGCAGGAGGCGGCTGGTCGATGTTTCTCTCTCATCGACATTTCTAGCTCCCTTCCTCTCTGTAAAAAATCAATAAAATATATTTTAAAAAATTATTTACATATTTAAGTGATCTTATGTTGGGTGCATAAATGTTCACAAAGGTTATATCCTTTCATTGGATTCCTCCTTTTATCATTATGTTGTGTCCTTCTTAGCTTTGAAGTCTATTTTGTCCAATATAAGTATTGCTACTCCAGCATCTTTTTTCCTTCCATTTGCATAAAATATATTTTCCATCCTTTTCATTTTGGTGTGTGTAATTTTTGTTCTGAGGTTGGTCTCTTATAGATGGAATATATATATGGATCTTGTTTTCTTATAATTTCAGCTATTCTATGTCTTTTTAAATTTATTTACTAGAGGCTCGGTGCATGAAAATTAATGCACTTGTGGGAAGGGTCCCTCAGCTCAGCCTGGGTCCTCTCATAGTCCAGGACCCCTCAGGGGATGTTCACTTACCCACTTAGGTCCACTCCCCAGGGAAACAGGCCTAAGCTGGCAGTTAGACATCCCTCTGGAAGCTCAGGAGCCCTTGGGGGATGTCCTTGGGTAGCAAGCCTAAGCAGTTAGTTGGACATTCTTAGCACTGTCATGGAGTTGGAAGAGGCTCCTGTCACCATCGTTGTGCTGGCCAGCCATGATCAAGCTTCTAGTTGAGTGGTGCTCCCCCTGTGGAAGCACACTGACCACCAGAGGGCAGCTCCTGTGTTGAGTGTCTGCTCCCTGGTGGTCAGTGCTCATCATAGCAACTGGTCGTTCTCAGTTGTTCAGCCATTAGGGTCAACTTGCATACTACCCTTTTATTATATAAGATTTAAAAAAATATGTTTATTGATTTCAGAGAGGAAGGGAGAGGGAGAGAGAGACTGAAACATCAATGATGAGAAAAAATCATTGATTGGCTGCCTCCTGCATGCACCTCACAGTGGATCAAACCTGCAACCCGAGCATGTGCCCCTGACCAGAATCAAACCCAGGACCCTTCAGTGTGAAGGCTGATGCTCTATCCTCTGAGCCAAGCCAGCTAGGGTAGCTACCCTAGTATTTTGATTAAAGCATTTAAGCCATTTACACTTAAAGAGATTATAGATAGTATATATTTACTGCCATTTCATTCTTTTAATTGTTTTCCTCTATTTCTTTTTTCTCTTCTCTTCTTCCTCCTTCTCTTCCTCCTCTGCCTCCTCTTCTTCTTCCTCCTATCCTTCTTCTTTCTTCTTCTTCAAATCCCTTTAACATTTATGGTAATACTGATTTGGTGTTAACAATGTCCTCTAGCTTTCTCTTGTCTAGGAAGCTGTTTATTTCTCTTTCAATTTTAAATGATAGCCTGGTTGGATAAATAAGTCTTGGTTGTGGGTCCTTTCTTTTCACCACTTTTAATATTTCATGCAAATTTATTCTGGCTTGAAATGTTTTTATTGATAAATCAACTGATGGTCTTATGGTAGCTCCCTTGTACTTAACTAACTGTATTTCTCTTGCTCCTCTTAAGATTCTCTCTTTGTTCTCTCTCTTTTCCTTCTCGATCCTCTTTGATGCACATGTTGTTACATTTCATTTGTCACAAATGTCTCTTAAATAATCCTTGCTATTTTTTTTCATTCGTTTTTGTGGCTCTGATTGTGTGCTTTCTGCTACTTTGTCTTCCAAATCACTGATTTGATCTGCTGTTTCATCTAACCTACCATTTATTCCTTTTGTGTATTCATTATTTTTCCAGATATTATATTCTTCATTTCTGAAATTCTTTTTTATGGTTTGTATGTTCTTTTTTATACTGTTAGAGTTCTCACTAAGTTCCTTAAATATCCATATAACCATTTTTCTGAACCCTCTATGTGATAAGTTGATTGCCTTCATTTCATTTAGCTTTTATTATGGATATTTATCCTATTTTTTCCATTTGGGATGTTTCTTTGTCACACCATTTTGGCTACCTCTTTCTGTTTGTTTCTATGCATTAGGTAGATCCACTATGACTACAAGAATTAGTAGGGTGGCCTTATGTAGTGTGTATACTGTGGGGTTTACTGGAGCAATCTATTTGATGGCCTGACCTGGTTGCTCCAGGAATGTACCTTGTGTGGGTTATGTGAGCCCTCCTTTATAACTGAATCTTGATTATTATTTGCCTATTGTGCATGGGACTGTCCCTCAGACTGGTTAACTGTGTGACTCAACTCTGACCATGATGCGTAAGCTGCTGTGCAGGTACTGACCACACTATGCAGAATTCACCTCTGCATGGTTTTGTGCCTGATGAAATCTCCCTTTGGATATGCCCCTTGAGAAATGTACTGGATCCTACTCTGATGTTGGCTGAAGCTGTCCACTGGCTGTGTTTTTTCTATGCCTCTGCTACGGACTCTAGGGCAGGCTAGTGTCAGACACTTCTTGTGGCTGTCCCTGGGCAACATTTTTGGAACTACAAAGTGATCCAAAGATTTTTGGCTGCCTCTGCTGGACCTGAATGTGCATAGAAAGGACCAAGTTGAGCATCAAGACCAACTATTATTAATACTGGGCTCAGGGGCAGGGCAGAAAAATTCCCAAAGCACCCCTAAATCTGTCTCTGCCTGCTGGCTGCCTGATTGACTCAGTTCCTGGAAAAGCCTCTGGTGGTACTCAAGTTTCATGAGATAGGTTCTTGAGTCACCAGGTAGGGGAGATTGGGATTCACCAGACTGATGCATATTCAAACTGAGTATTAGTGCTAGGTCTGAGGCCACTCAGTAAGAGTCCCCATGTATACCAGTACCAAGTCTAGCTGCCATATCTGCTGAGTGCTTATACTTCTGTGGTGGGGCAGGTTCTCAGGGAGTCATCATGGTGAGGTCAGCAGAATTTATCAGGTTAAATCCACCAAGATTTGTTTATGTGAATGAAGGGCTCTTCATTGGTCAGAAGTGAGATGAAAAAATGGCCCCTGTCCTAGAGCCACACAATTTATTCTGTCCCAGATTCTGCTGGGAGGAGCCTGAGCTCAGCAGGGTGGGGCTTCCAGGAGTCAGGAAGTTTTCACTAGTGGATCTCCCATGAGGGGAATGTGTTCCTCAGGCTTCAGGGAATATGGGGTGTAGGAATCCATCCCAGAGTCACACAACCAAACCCTCCTCAGGGCAGATCCACCAGGATTTTAGCAGGTATATCTTCAGGGAGTTTGGAAGGTGGGACTAGTTGGTCTCCTGTGAGGGGATGCATTAGTCAGGTTCATGGGAAAGTAGGGGAAATGGCCTCCAATCCAAAGCCACAAAACTCAGTCACTGAAACCCACTGAGTCTGCCCAAACCTTTACCCTGGCCAAGCCATCTGATTCCTCAGAAGGACATGAGCTCTGCAGGGTGGGGCAAGAGGACATTTAGAGGGTTGGGCTATTGCATTCTCCTAGCCAGATGCTGTATGAAGGAGGGTGCTCTACCTAAGAAAGATAGGATCTACCATATGGGAAAATGACTCAGCACATTCTGGTGGTTATCCTTTAAGCTCTCTCCCCAGAGCCACAAACCCCAGATCCTACACATGACTCAGCTTAGACCACCTTTTCTCTGCCAGATCCCAGTGTGAGTGGCTGCAAATGAAAATTTGTGTATTGGCCCTTTAAGAAAGCACCGGTATTGCTAGTGGACTCCTATCTCTCCCTGATGGACAGAATCCCCATTGCTTTTCACAGCCAGATATTATGTGGGCACCTCTTCCTAGCTCTGGTGCTCTTGGTTAGGGAGACTTGCTTGGAATTGAAACCCCAGTTTCTCAAGGAGAACACCTTGCAGCTGATATATCCCATCAGAACCTCAGCCACCATTTATGGAAGCAGGGACAGCCCATTTTGTTTTTCCACCCTTCCTACCAGTACTGATGTGGATTCTTCTGCAAATCTTTGGTTATAAGACTTCTCTTCAGCTAGTCTTCAATTAGTTATTCAGGATTATTTTCTATAATTCGTTATAATTCCAGTTTAGTCCTTAGAGGAAGAGCATGTAATTTCCACCTACTCTGCCGCCACCATGTGTCTCTCTCTGATGACACATAGACATTTTATGGTCCATCTTAAACATTGTCTTTCCTATGATAAAGTTTTCTACTCTTAAAAAAAAAAAAAAAAAAAAAAAAAAAAAAAAAAAAAAAAAAACCTCAAGAATGCTTATGGGCCACAAGAACAGAGGAGAAATAGTCCAGAAATAAAGATAATGAAGATACCTTGCCATGATAGCAGTCAGCACCTGTGCATGCTGCAGGTTACCCAAGACCAAGGGGAAGAAAAGTCCATGTGCATGTACTTCTAGACCATGTATGCAAACCCTTCTGCATAGAAATCAAAATGTTTAATGTTTGATGTTTTTACCAAGACCCTGACTTGGGATCTTGCTTTATTTCTAACACAGGGAATGGTATTAATTGCCACATTAAAGGAGGTATTATACCTCAATTTTATGAATGGATCCAGTTCTAAAAAAGCTGGATCTACTGCAGTTTTGGGGACAAATGTCCTTCAAACCTCTTATATCGATATTTCAGTAGAAATACAAGCTCTTGTTGATACCTTAACATATTTTACTGCAGAGCCCTATTATTAATGTTTAAATTTTATTTTAATTAGTAAAAAAGGGTGAGATGTAGAGAGCCCCCTGAGAAGGCACCTGGACATTCTTTTAATTCTTATCAGCTGAGCCCGAGGGCACTTTTCTTATCTTTATCTATGTGCTTGGAATGAGGAACAAATAGGACCTTGACTTACCCAGATCTTGATATGCTAAATCTTGTACCAAAAGATGAGGAACTTACCCAGATCTTGATGAATAGGATCTGGGGACACCTGAAACTCCTTTTGACCTTATACTCCCCTTTGGAAACCAATAAATGTGCTGTGTTGTCTGTGGTGGGTGTGACTGTCTCTCCATCAGAGAGATGGTGCCCACCTAGCGCCCAGCTTTATGACTCAAAAAAAAAAAAAAAAGAATGCTTATAGGGCTGAACAAACCATAATGAACCTTTGATGAGAGATTCTTAGCATTCTTGACCCTTTCCTATAGGAGAAAGTGAAGGGATGACTGAGAGGCACAGCTCTTCATTCCCCACTCCCTGCCTCCAGCACCAGAATAATCAGAGTAGTAGTTTCAGAGTAAGCTTATATGTGAAAGAAAGAGTTCTCTTTATTTTCTTAAGTGTAAATGTGAAAGCCACTAATGAACTACTCTTTTGTTCATTCATTAAGTTATTGAATATTTATTGCTGGGGTTCTTGTCCCAACCTTACAAAGGGTTCAGTAATCTGGAGAAAGGGGCTGATGTGTAGATTCAAGAAGTCCAAAGATGAAAGATAGTTTTGAAAGGCATTGGGGGTCAGAGGAACTTCAGCTAAAGGAACTAAAGACTAACCCTGGAGTCAGGACTCTGCTTTTATTAACACAATTTGTCCTAAGGCAAAGTGGAGATAATACACTTCAAAGAGTAGGGTTCACAGAAGCATCATCAGATTGTGGAATAGCCTACAGATGTTCAGGTGTTTGGCCAACAGGAGGCAATAACATGCAGATTAAAATGCTCAGGTGTCTGGCAGCAAGAAATAATCCTATTCAGGTTCGGGGAAAGGCCCTTGAGCCATCCCAGATGATTCAACCCTTCAGATGCTGGAATTGGCTTCCAGCATTTATCAATATTATGAAGCCAGCACTGTGCTAAGCATTCCTATGGCCAGTTAGGCAAGGTATATGAGTTATTACGGCTTTATGTACTCCAAGAAATTGGACATACAGAGATAATGGGGAAGGGCTTTCTGGGAACCAATATAGCTCATCACCTAGTGTGTGATGCACTCAGAAGGCACAGGTTTTGGCTCTCCATCTCTGTTGTCTCAGAGAGACGAACACAAAGAGCAAGGCAGTCCTTCCCTAGTGTCCTCTCCCAATTCCAAGTTACTTGAAACTCTTGCCACATCAGGATGATGGGGGGCTTAGTTTCTTGCATCTTTCAATCAGACCCAAAATATTGTGGTGCCAGTTTTTATCTGTTTTAAAGTAGGATTTCCTGTGGGTACTGGCATTTCTGTTTCTTCTCACATAACAGGCTGCCTACATGAAATCTTCCTCTTGACACCCAAGGTCTACTGAGAGACCAAGTTGGCATCAAGAAACTGCTTTTCCCATAATTCACTTCTGTGATACTAAACATCAACCACCTGAATCTAAGTGTCCTACTGCTGCTACCACTACCAGGCAAAATTAAGTCATGTGCAGACACCAAAGCCACAGGCTGATGGCTAAGAATAAGTTAAGCTCAAAATAACCTGCACTATTACCAGCACATCTTGTTGCCTTCAACCCATCTTTAGCACTGTACACGATTGGCAGAAGAGCTAGGTAGACAACTAGTTTCTGATCCCTGAAATAACACAGAAAAGAGAAATAAATATCTTGACTGGGTTAGAGCAGTGTTTCCCAACCTTCTCTCATGATGAGAATCACCTGGTGGAGTTGTTAAAACACAGATTCCTGAATCCCAACTAAGAAGTGCTAAACTAGAATTTTTGAGAACATTGGTAAAATTGCATACCTAACTTAGTGCTCTGTATATAAAATCTGTCTTAGAGCACTAGTTAAGTATACAATTTTACCTATATGTTCCCAAAAATTCTAGTTTAGCACTTCTTAGTTGGGATTCAGGAATCTGTGTTTTAACAACTCCACCAGGTGATTCTCATCATGAGAGAAGGTTGGGAAACACTGGGTTAGAGAATCATCAAAGCCAGAGGAAGAGCTGCTCAATCATTCTGCTACTTTGCTGCACTCAAGATTTCTAGTTTGGGCTTGGGCTTCAGTAGTTTTTGGACTCACCCAGTTAAGGAGAGTGGTGTGTGCATTTGAATAGAGAAGGATAGGAACAGGTTGTTAGAGGTAACTAAGCTTAGAGGCAGGGAAGAAACAAGAGGTCTATGTTCATAAACTCAAAACTTCACCCTTGTTCTTAAGAACCTGGTTTTTATTCAGGCTGTCAGAATGGACAACTGCAGCCAATATGTGCCTGATTAATGGGAAGCAATGAATTACTAAGAATGGGGGCTCATTCCCAGCTGATGTGGCTCAGTGGTTTAGCGTTGACCTATGAACTGGGAAGTCATGGTTCTATTCCAGGTCAGGGCACATGCCCAGATTGAGGGCTCGATCCCCAGTGTGGAGCATACAGGAGGCAGCCAATCAATGATTCTCTCTCATCATTGATGTTTCTATCTTTCTATCCCTCTCTCTTCCTCTATGATATGAAAAAAATATTTAAAAAAAGAATGGGGGCTCCTCTCTGACCATACTATTAACTATTTCATACCACCTCTTCCAGATCTGGAGACACCTTTTCCAAGAGTGAATAAAAGGCATTGGTGTTTTCTAAGTTGACTCTCAACTATTTAACAATCTGACAGCTGAGACATCCAAGAGGACCCATTCACTCTTCTCATGGTTACTCACAGCTGTTACTTCAGAAGAGACATTTTTATCTCACCTAGCACATAATGGTGATATCATAGGCTGGATTAAATTTTCAACTCTGCATAATCCAAATGCATAAGATACTGGTTCTATTAGGATTAGAAGACTTATCAATAACAAGAAGTAAGGACATATAGGTTTGTAAGACTGCAGAGCTTTTTGACCTTAAATGACCTATAATATCAAAACCAAGGATTATTAATAGGAATAGGAAGCAAAGCAGTATTTTCAAAAAAATAGATTAAGCTTACTATGATGCTCACCTTGCATTTTATATCAATCTATTAGCAAGTTACTAATTAATTTTCTACTTCACTGAAGATACAAAACTGTCCCAGATAAGTAACATGACGTACAAAAGATAACCTAGCTGACAGCCATGCCAGAACCTGCTTATATCTTCAAGACCTAATACACTCATCACTGTTAGCCTGTTAAAATATTTGCCTATGAGAGTAAGTGACTTGGAGCAACTCTCAATCAGCACTGAAAACCAGGGTTTAAGAACAATATTTCTGTACATCTGTATTAGTCACCTAAGGCTACTATAACAAGATACCAGAGACTGGGTGGCTTTAACAATAGATATTTATTTTCTCACAGTTACAGAGGCTAGAAGTCCAAGATCAAGGGGTCAGCAGAACTGGTTTCTGCCAAGGCACCTCTCCTTGGCTAATAGATGGCCAGCAATCTATTTATACTGGCCTTTTCCTTACATGGCAGTTTCCTCTGTGCACTTGTCTCCCTAGTATCTCATCCTCTTCTTCTTTTTAAAAAATATATTTATTGATTTTTTTACAGAGAGGAAGGGAGAGAGATAGAAAGCTAGAAACATCGACAAGAGAGAAACATCGACCAGCTGCCTCCTGCCCCCCCCCCACTAGGGATGCGCCAGCAACCAATGTACATGCCCTTGACCGGAATTGAACCTGGGACCTTTCAGTCCGCAGACCGATGCTCTACCACTGAGCCAAACCGGCTTCGGCTCTTCCTCTTCTTATATGGACACTATTACCATTGGATTAAGTTCCCACACTTATGACTTAATTTATCCTTAATTACCTCTCCGAAGGCCCTATCCCCATATACTGGTTCTATATAGATTTAGCTCTTCAATATGTTAATTAAAAAATATATATATATATATATATTTTATTGATTTTTTACAGAGAGGAAGGGAGAAAGGGATAAAGAGTTAGAAACATCAATGAGAGAGAAACATTGATCAGCTGCCTCCTACACACCCCCTACTGGGGATGTGCCCTCAACACAGGTACATGCCCTTGACCGGAATCGAACCTGGGACCTTTCAATCTGCAGGCTGATGCTCTATCCACTGAGTTAAACTGGTTTCGGCCAATATGTTAATTTTGAGGGAACAGAATTCAGTCCAGAAGAGCATAAGAATTCTGTGACAACTGGGTGCAAAGAATGTTTATCCCCACCTCACACTACATTCATGAAACTACATTTAAGTCCCCCTTTCCAACACCATACTAAAAACAGCCTTAACTTACCCCTCTAAAATCATCACTTGCTTCTTCCACTAAGTCACATTCCTTGCATTTATCTCCAGCCCCAAAATATCCTGTCCCTTCAGTTCTTTTGCACGTGTCTTCTGCATGTCTTTTTCTGGGGTTCTGTGTTTTCCAGAAATTCTGTTAGCTTTTTAAGGGCAGGGACCAAATCATCTGTTTCCTTCGGGGCCTAAGAGACAGAAAATGTCTGGGCACACAAGGGGCACTTGTACTTAAGCCACATTATTTCCTGTTTAATGACATGACATGAAATGAAAGTAAATGTCACAACACTCCAGAAATGTTGACTGAGTGACTGCCTAGGGACAGGAACAGGGTCATTTCATCCTCCTTTCTGCTCCCATTTTTAGTCTTTTCCAAACACCAAGGAAAAGTCTTGCTCTTTGCTTCTGTTGGACTGTTTTATTTTCTGTCCTTGCACGCTAGGCAGTGAGAAACTCAAATAAGAATAAAGGGCATTTATCTCACTCTGAGAGTCTGAGGATTTTTTTGTTTTTTGTTTTTTTTCTGCTACTGCTCTAGGACTCTTGCTCTTCCAACCAAACAACTTAATAGCAAAATAAATAAATAAATAAATAAATAAATAAACAAACAAACAAATAAATTATAAATAGGGAGAAGGGAGGAAGAAAAAGAAGCAATGGAGATTAATGAGAAAGCTAAGCTGACATTACATTGCCCACTGCTGCCCTTTGTGCTAACAAGAAGGAAGCTACATATTGCAAAGTGCCTGTAAATATAGCCTTTCTCTGGACAAAGATCTTAATGAGAACTGAAAATGAAAATGAATCCTTTTTCATTCTTATGATCATGTTAAAAGTGTAACTTCATCATTCATTTGACTTCTCTTCAGCCCAAGAAGGAGGGCATAAATTGCCTAGTGATTATATATATATATATATATATATATATATATATATATATATCTTTATTATTGAAAGTACTACAGATGTCTCCCCTTTTTCCCCATTGACCCTTTCCACCTCAACCCCACATTCCACCCCCAGGCCTTCAAGGTGCTATTGTCTGTGTCCACGGATTATGCATATATGCATATAAGTTATTTGATAATCTCTTCCCACCCTCTTAGTTATTTTTATCCCTGATATCACCTCCTAGATCCCAGAGATAGTCCAGCCTGGCTTATTTAAGATTACATGACATTGTGGTTAAATTTGTGTGTTCCTGAGGGACACTTCCTATTTGTTGTAGAAGAGAGAACCTAAGCTGAACTCCTTGACTCTCTGGCCCTTGTCTTCCAGCCAGCAGTTTAATAGTAGCAATGAGCCAGAGAAGCAGCTCAATGACACTCCAAGTCCAGTGAGCAAACTGAGCAATTATGCCTGGTCCGGTGAGTTATTTGTCACCAGATAACAGTAGTATTTACTGAACACAAGACTTTTCAAAAGGAACAGTTGGGTTTTTACATAAAGATGGCATGATTTATGCCTTCAGGAGCTCTAAGATCCTGGGACAAGATTAATTTAGTAATGTATTCATTTTTTGTGATTGCTAACAAATTAGTATAAACAGTGGTTTAAATAACACTCATTTATTAGCTCAGTGTTTTTCAACCTTTTTCATCTTATGGCACACATAAATTAATTAGTAAAATTCTGTAGCACACCAAAAAATATATTTTTTGCTCCAAAGTGACTTTTTAAAAAAATCAGATGCCTAAACTTATATATAATGATTTCTGGCATCAACATCACATAATCAATAAGCCATAACACTATTACATAACCTATATATTTATGGTTCAAGACAGGACATTCAACCGGATGGCTATTTTGTTGACTGTTGTCATTTTTTAAAATTTGGCAATCTAAGGGAAAAGAGGTCAATGCCCCTAACTAAATAGTCAGGCATCACATGTTTTGAAAAGTTTTGTGGCACACCAGTGTGCCATGGCACATATGTTTAAAAATCACTGTATTAGGTCATAGGTCTGTAGGTAGGAAGTGCTACATGTTGTGACTAGAATCTCTGCTTAGGGTCATCCAAGGCTCAAATCAAGTTGTCAGCTGAACTGCATTCTTATCTGAAGTCCAGGGCTCTTTTCCAAGCTTGTGTAGTTGTGACAGAATTAAGTTCTTTGCAGCTAGAGGACTGAGCTCCCCATCTTCTTGATGATGGTAGCCAGAGGGTCACTTTCTGCTCCCAGAGATCACTTGCATTCTTTCTTATATGGCCCCTCAATATTTGAATCCGCAGTAGCACTACAAATCCTTATCATCCTTTGAATCTCTCTCACTTCCATTTCTGCCTTTCCTTTCTGCCACCAACCATGAAAAATTTTCTGTTTTTAAGGGTTCTTGTGATTACATAAAGACCATGGAATAAGCTTCCTATCAAAAGGTCAACTATGCCAAATAACATAATATAATCTCAGATACCTGATCATATTAGAGAGTGGACTTAGGCAGGGAGGGAATGTATTTTTAAATTTCTTCCTACCATAGAAAATAAAAGGACATTTGTTTGTGTGTGTGCCATTATAAACTCTTTACCCCTCCCACTTCACCATGCACAGGTTTATAGACTTATTCTATATAATAAAATGATAATATGCAAATTGACCCTAACTGAGGACACAGAATGACATAGGACAACTGGTTGCTATGATGCGCACTGACCACCAGGGGGCAGATGCTCAACACAGGAGCTATCCCCTGGTGGTCAGTGCATTTCCACAGGGGAAGTGACTCTCAGCCAGAAGCCTGCTCATGGCTGGCCAGCACAGCGGTGGTGGCAGGAACTTTTCCTGCCTCCACAGCAGCCCTAAGGATATCAGACTAAGGGCTTAGGCCCACTCCCTGAGGATATCCCCTGAGAGCTCCCGGGCTTCCAGAGGGATGTCTGACTGTCAGCTTAGGCCTGATCCTATGGGTAGTGGGCCTAAGCTGGAAGGTGGACATCCCATGAGGGGTCCTAGACTGCGAGAGGTTGCAGGCTGGGCTGAGGGACCCCTCCACCCCTGAATGCACGGATTTTCATGTACCAGGCCTCTACTGAGTACATAAATCAGTACAAATCCATGAGCTGGTTATAGTCAGAATTATTCTGAACCTTTCCTTTTCTTGTCATGATTCTGAAATATAGCAGATCCTACTGTTCCCATTATTTCAGATACTAGTGTAGATTTTTAGTTTAAACTGCAAAAGAATGGCAGAGAACACAATTTGAGAACAAATTCTCCCTTATGGTTGGCCAGGAGTATGGAAGCCATTTTTATTTGTTTTGTTTGGTTTACAAAAGTTCTCAATCCTGTGTAGCATTGAGTGGTGACCACTTGCATTTCATATGCTCCCTAGAACCTCAGATCTTTTTGAGTTGCTGATTATGAAAATGTAGCAATTTACCTAAATGCTTGCTATTATCAATTATTTAGAAGTAAAATGAGTTTCTGATTACTGCCATGTACAATAGAGCAAATTATAAATTCAAATTAGTGTTTTTGTTTTCTTTAGATAAATATCCTGGAATGGAATTGATAAGGTACAGAAATAGAATATTGAGGACTAGCTATAATTGTATGAAATATTAATCATGCTCTGTTAACTGTGATTAAAGAAAGTACATTCTAACCTGGCTGGGAGTTGCACTAGGGACCTGGGAGCTAACCTGGAAATTTGCCGCATCCTCTACATCTGGGAGCTGCCTATTATGATGGAATGATTAGCAACCGTTTCACAGAAACCAAGCCACCAGGCTTTTGAAGACCCCCAGCCTTTTGCATACTCCCAGGCCTTTGCAAATGCATTAACTATAAAGTGCCAATTTGGCAAATACTTTTGCCTACTTCGCCATGTGATTTTTGTCCTTCTATCTGTTATAAGAAGCTGGGTTATGGTAGGGAGCTGATCAGATTTTTGTGGATGACCTGCTGCTCGCCCATACTGCCAGCATTATTGGAATAAACACTCATATATGATTTAACCCTGTCTCTGCTGAATTGGCTCAAGTAGTGATAGGCAGCTCAGATCCATAGATTGTCTGGTTATAGAATTGCTGGATTACATGGTAACTTTATTTTTAATTTTTTTGAAGAACCTCCATACTGTTTTTTCATAATGGCTATACCAATATATAATCCCAGTAACAGTCCTAGAGGGTTCCCTTTTCAGCACATTCTTGCCAATATTTGTTATTTATTGTCTATTTGATATTAGCTATTCAGACAGGTATAAAGTGATATCTCATTGTGGCTTTTATTTGCATTTCCTTGATGATTAGTAATGTTGAGCATCTTTTCATGTATCTGTTGGCCATCTGTATGTCATCTTTGGAGAAATATCTTCTCAGGTCCTATGCCCATTTTTTAATTGGATTGTTTGTGGGGTTTTTTTGTTCTTGTTTTTTGCTATTGAGTTTTATGAGCTATCTATAAACTAATATCTATATTAACACTTTATCAAACAGATTATTTGCAAATATATATTCAATTCAGTAGATTGTTTTTGCTTTATCGATAGTTTCCTTTTTAGTTTATTTTAGCCTACCACAACAAATTTGAATTTAGAACTGAAAAACAGGGGAAACATTACCCTGAAGAGCCGACGGCTGGCTGAGAGGAGGCTCTACCATCTGGGAAGGAGAAAGAAGGTGTGCTGAACCTCAGGAACTGTGAAGGTGTGGAGAACTGTGTGCACGAAAAGGCAGCCGCAGGGTTCACTGCCAGCTTACTCCCTGCACATGGAGAGGGCAAAGGGCAGACAGCTAATGCGAGGCTGGCTTTCTTGTTCGGGAAGAAAACAGAACCACCCTATTGCACTGATAGACGGCCCCAAACAGAGAGAGGCCAGACTGTCAGGCAGTGGGCAGAGATCTCTCAGAGGTGTATGAAGCCAGTGGCCATTACTGTGAGACTCAGAAACCAGACCCTCGTAGAAAGGGGCTGAATAAAGCTTGTCTGTACCACCCTAGATCCCGCCCCATCCAAGCTGAGAACAGAAGCCCTTCCAGTGGCTAGCTTCCTCGTTCACTGCCAGTAGGACTCTCCTAGGGAGGGGCAGTCAGGAATCTAAAGCTTATATGCAACCAATTGTGTGGGATTCAACAAAGCTTGTCTGTGTCACCCCAAGACTCAGCCCCATTCAAGCAGAATACAGAAACCTTCCTAGCTGAGACACTTCTGATCCTCATAGCCAACTGGATTCCCAGTGATACCAACAACAAGCAAGGCTTAACAACAAGACTGTACACACAGCCCACAAAGGGCTACACCAAGACAGTCCACCTCAGGTAAGTGGGAGGCTGACTCACTGAACCATATAGGACACCTTAGCACACAAAGCCACCCTACCAACTCAGGGAAGCTGTGAAAATGCCAAGACAAGGAAATAGATCACAAATAAAAGAAATGGAGGAAAAGAAGAGACTGGATATAGAGTTCAAAACCACGCTTATAAGGTTTTTCAAGAATTTCCTAGAAAAGGTCGATAAGATCTATGAGGAGATGAAAAGGGATCAACAAGAACTAATAAGGGATCAATAAGAAATAATAAGGGACCAACAAGAAATAAAGAATAAATTGTCTGAAAAAAAATACTATACAGAGTCTTAAAAACAGAATGGAAGATAGCAAGAATCAAGTCAAAGATTTGGAACATAAAGAGCCAGAAGACACTCCTCCGCAGAAGCAAGAAGACAAGAGAATCCAGATAGTTGAAGATAATGTAAAAAACCTCTGAGACAACTTCAGGTGAACCAACATCAGAATTATGGGGGTCCCAGAAGATGAGAGAGAGCAAGATATTGAAACCATACTGAAAAAAATAGCGACAGAAAACTTCCCCCACCTGGTGAAAGAATTAGACTTACAAGTCCAGGAAGAGCACAGAACTCCAAACAAAAGGAATCCAAAGAAGACCACACCAAGACACATCATAATTAAAATTCCAAGAGCAAAAGACAAAGAGGGAATATTAAAAGCAGCAATAGAAAAGCAGGTAGTTACCTATAAAAGAGCACCTATATGATTGTCAGCTGATTTCTCAACAGAAACCATGCAGGCCAGATGGGAATGGCAAGAAATATTCAAGGTGATGAATAGCAAGAACCTATAGCCAAAAATAATCTACCCAGCAAAGCTATCACTCAGAATCAAAGGCCAGATAAAGAGCTTCTCTAATAATAAAAAAATAAAAAAGCTAAAGGAGTTCATTACCGCCAAACCAGAATTATATGAATTGCTGAAGGGGGTTCTTTTGGAAAAGAAAGTAAATAAAGATAAAAACTATGAACAACAAATACATAACTATCAACAAGTGAATCTAAAAACAAAGGGAATTTTAAAAATCTAATGAACAATATTAACTGGTGAATATAATAGAATCAGAGGTATGGAAGTGGAGTGAACTGACGATTCTCGGGAAAAAGGGGAAAGGGGGGTGTGGGAAAAGACTGAACATAAACTGTGCACCTATGGATGAGGACAATGGGGGATGGGGAAAGGGCAGAGGGTGGGGTGGGAACCTGGTGGAGGGGAGCAATGGAGGGGGGGCAGAAATGAAGAACATTTGTAATAATATGAAAAATAAAGATTTATTTTAAAAAAATTAAAGTAAAAGCAACCAAGGAATAATAAATTGTAGAGGATAGCTCTCTATATATCTCCAGCCTATATCTGTTCTATGCTTTATATCTATAATATGAATATATGCCATGTATATTTACATGGATTAATTTGAACTTCCCAACTGTCCAGTAAAAAGAATGGCTATACATAAAAGGGAGGAGGGATCTCTCTCTCTAAGTTTGCTAATTGAAAACAACCCTAACCAGGCAAGAATTAAAAATAAGGAAAGACAATTTGTTGTCAGCGAGGATGTTCTAAACTACTGCTGACTCAGACCTAGAAGCATGGTGTGGGGATATGGTGGTCTTGGCTGAGAGAGAAAAACTCTTAAATTACTTAAGAGATCTGTGGGGACATTCCATGTCAGACAGGAGGAATGCT